ATCGATCACATCTAATATAAATTTCCTTTATTCTGATCACGTGGAAAAGTGATATCCTCCTCGGATTTGTTCCAGTAGTGTAACAGAAAATATTTGTCATGCTTCAATATGAATCTATATGATTAAAAAGAAGATTTTTTCCCTGTCATTTCCTTTCTTCAGGGAGTAGAAAAGACAGGACATGACATTGCAAAATTTGTATGGTCAAGTCATAAACCTTGGATTCCTAGGCCAATGCTGAGCATGCATGTCCGGATGGGCGACAAGGCATGTGAGATGAAGGTTGTAGGGTTCAAAGAATACATGCATCTTGCTGAGCGCATAAGAGAGCACTTCCCTAATCTTAAGAGCATCTGGCTTTCAACAGAAATGCAGGTATGACACTTTTCTCATACTTCAATTGTTTTTTTCTCCCTGATTTTTCATTAAAACACTTCTTCCAACATAACAGGAAGTTGTCGATCAATCGAGACAGTACCCCCATTGGAAGTTTTACTACACAAATGTGACACGCCAAATGGGTAACATGACAATGGCAAATTATGAAGCCAGTCTTGGCAGGGAGACGAGTACGAATTATCCTCTTGTTAATTTTTTGTTGGCAACTGAAGCCGATTTCTTCATTGGAGCATTGGGTTCCACGTGGTGTTTTCTCATAGACGGTATGAGGAATACCGGAGGAAAAGTCATGTCCGGATACTTGAGTGTTAACAAGGATCGATTTTGGTAGCTACACAGTGAAGCTTCTAAGCAATTATTCCGGGGACAAGATCTCAGATAAACCTGGAAACATCACCTTTAACTCTTAAGCCAAAAGATTTTGGTTCAAAATGCTCCCGGCTTTCTTAGCTGAGATCGTGTTGATAGTCTAGATGAAGAGCTGATGCCTAAGAAAAAATACTCGGATGCTACCAGATGAGTTCTGATTATGAGCAGACAGGGAGCAGCATCTTACCTGTAAATTATTTGTTGTAAAATAAACTTTGCATCACTTTTGTCTCTTGATAATCCTACTACTCATTTCTTAAAGTTGTGGCTCAGTTAATTTTTTTCCCCAGTATTGTGGTGATAGAACCAGCTTGTAAATATCTGGATATTTCATTTGAGTGTCTACATATTAGTAGTACAGAACAGTAATCAAGCAATTCTACCTACTAAAGTTTAAATAGATGGAAAGAAATTATGTAACAATTTGTTGCTCTTAATAATCAACTGGAAAAAAAATAAGGATGTGGGGAAATTAGCTAAACAATGATGACCCAGCTCTATTAATTCCATTAATATGTAGTAATTATGAAGTGTGGAACTAGACAACAAATTAAGTAAGGTGATAATGAAATTCCTTGCGGACAATTCTCTACTTGCTTTAACTTATATACCCGGCCTCCCTCTTGTATTCGGGATTAACACAAGAGTGACTCTGATATCATTTGTAACAGCCCAGCTCAGCCCGCTAGTGATATTGTCCACCCAGCAAGGATGTTAAGGCTTGTTAACTTATATACCAAGCATCCCTCTTGTGTTTTACCGATGTGGAATTCTATGTAAAGTCTTAGGTGTTAGACTTTACCTGTCATTTTCCAACGAATTAACCTTCTTTCATGCCACAATAGTTGAGCTTATTAGCAAAAATCCAACCCTTAAGGAAAATGAATTTCCTAGAAACTTACATAGTCAGCTGCATGCAAATAACAAGTCCAACTCCGCCATGACACTTTATTTAGATTTATAGGAAATATAGTAAAATCACGAGGCTAGCTGCGAGGGGGAAACATTTTATTTAGATTTATTAAGAAAAATAATTACGTAAATGACAAAATGATAGTACTGGTGGATGAAGAATATTAGCAAAACGTAAGAACAGTCTATCTAGATTTGTATGAAATAATTAACAAAAGCAGAGCGTTGGAATCCAGTTCGAACTTCAAATATTTGGGTCTGAAATTAGGTTTGGCAGTACACAACTGTAACTTTTTGTTTCTGTACATGAACACTTCTCTTTGGTATTTGTATAAAAAATATGGACCCAATTGAAATTGGAGGGAGAAATTCAAAAATAGCCATATTTACAAGTGGTCATTCAAAAGTAGTCACAGTTTCAAAAGTAATCGAAATTTAGTCACTTTTCATGTAAAGATAAATCTGAACGAAAATGATGTTCAAAATCTAGAAAAATACTCCAGTATACTTATGTTGGAACTCCAGTATATCCAGTATAATATATTGGAGTTTCAGTATAATATATCATTCCAACATGATATACTTGAGAATGGAGCACCGGTACTCCAATCTCCAATATATTATACTGGAACTTTCGGCGTGTTGGAGTTCCAACATATGCTGGAAGTTCATATATAGGTGCACCGATCTCCAGTATATTATGCTGGAACTTTCCGTGTTATAGCAAAATAATGACTATTTTTTAATAACTTTATAAATGCGGGCTACTTTTGAATGACCTGTCCGAAAAGTGGTTAGCTTGTGTTATATTTACGAAAGGGAAAACTACCCTATATACCTACCTAATCAAAAGTAATTATCTGTAATTACCCATTTTAAAAGTAATTACATCAATACCTATTCTATTACAACTAATTACCCGCCCAACCCAATTCTAGCGTGCGATGGACATATCTAATTTTAAGCAGCAAAAGTGTGAATCCAAAAAAGAAGCCAAAGAATATTTAACTTTTCTCAATAGTGGACAGTGTTGTTAGTATTGTACTTTTTTCTCCTATCATCACCCCCTTTTTTTTGTGCTCCATAGTTTATTTTATCTTCTAAAAGTTTTAAAAAAAAAGTACTATCTAACTAAAATTTGAATTTTCATGTGTGTTGAAGTATTTGGTGATGGAATTTAATGGGTATTGTTCTTTGATTATGATGTTAATGCTAATTTTCAAAGATTTTATTGTGAGAAAATTAAATCCATCATTGAAGGATCTTGAAACTTGAAACTTATAACTTGGTTTGTTTGAGTTTTTAATTGTTTTGATCCGATCCTAGATGAGTTTGTTTGGAAAGTTGATTGAAGGTTGTAGCTAAAGTTTTAGTCAATTTGATGGAGATTTTGTAGTAGATTTTACAAATTTGGGTTGAAATATAGTTGAACTAGAGAAGATGACGAATTTGTATTGTATACCCAAATAGTATACAAATATACCATTTTGGTATACAATTCATTCCAACTATATACCCTATTAGTATAATTATATACTATATTGGTATCATATGCTAGTTGAATCATTTTTTGTTGTATTAGCTGCATTTAATTGATACAATATTTGATTTTCTTTTAATAATAATAATATAGTACAATTTCTTGAAATACTTTATTATATTAATATGTGGTACACTATTTTTTTATTTTTCTTTGTATGCATGTGTGTTATGTAATAGTAGTATAGTCATATAGTTGCCGTGAATTAACCAGTAAAGATGTATACCATGTTGGTATAGTTATATGTTATATGGTAGTTTGTTTTGATTGTTTTAGCTGCATTTTAAGTGAATTCTATTATGAAATTATTTATATGAACATGATTTGCAGTGCTGGAATTTTTGTATGACGATGGACATAAATTATGTAATAGTTTTATAATTATAGGCAATTGTTGGAACAACTCCATACAACTATATACTATGTTAATATATGGAGTGAGCAAGTTGTTTTGCGAATATTTAGCTTGTAACATGAGTATGTAATTTTCTCATACTTTTATTGCGTCCTTTAATGTTTTGGTACAGTAGTATAGTTGCAGGTAGTTGTAGCAATATTCTAGAGCAATCATATGCTCTGTTGGTATACACATATACTATACTGATATCATATGTTAGTTAATATTTTTTTGATTGTATTAAACATTTAATTGGTACACAATTTGATTGTTCTTTAGTAATAATATATATAAAAAATAGTGAAAACAGTAAATGAAATTAGATTATGAAGAGAAAAAGAATATATAAAAAAAGAAGTTAAATGAAATTAGAAAAGGAAAAAAGAAAAAAATAAGAAGAAAACGAGAAAAAAGAAAAGGAGAAAAGAAAAAAAAAAAAGAAGCATAGAAATAAAAAAGAGTTGGAGAATAAAGAAAAAACTCCCCACAAAACCTACAACAACAACAACAATAACAACAATCCAGTATAATCCCACTTGGTGGGGTCTGGGGAGGGTAGTGTGTACGCAGACCTTACCCCTACCCTAGGGTAGAGAGACTGTTTCCAAATAGACCCTCCAACATCCTTCCCTCCAAGAACTCCCCACAAAACCTACAACAACAACAACAATAACAACAATCCAGTATAATCCCACTTGGTGGGGTCTGGGGAGGGTAGTGTGTACGCAGACCTTACCCCTACCCTAGGGTAGAGAGACTGTTTCCAAATAGACCCTCCAACATCCTTCCCTCCAAGAACTCCCCACAAAACCTACTATGGCTAAGAAATGTAATTAATTTATGGGTAGGAAAACAAATGGGTAGACAAGGATAAATAGTTTTATTTTTGTGGGTAACTGTGTCAAAACCCCTTTACGAAATTGGAATATTTGTCAAAATCGCCCTAAAAGTTCATGGAGTTCAGTTATTAATCGGTCAAAGGGAAAGTCTGCATTAACTTAGCCTACGCTAATAGAGGCCAATTGGGGCCTGGTTATGGTGATGTGAACATTAATGGTGAGCTTTGTGTGTAGATCAAATTAAACGATCTAAGGGATCGTTTTGTTTAAGGGATAAAGGAAATTAACCTTGCTATAAATTAAGTATTATTTATATATACATCATTTGATTTCTGGTATAAAATGTTTGAATATTTTGAACTAGCAAAAATTGATGTTGAATCTTTGCAGTTATGATAGAGATCATTGCCTTCTCCGTTTTTAGTGCATGAAATAGTTGCTCATGCCTGAAGCTTTATGGGGAAAGTTCTTTGTAGAATTGAACTCAATGGGGAAAGCATTTGCAAAACTTTTTTTTTTTTTTTAAAAAGAAACAAATATTAAAGAGTGGCCCCAAAAAGGCTATTTGTGCAATTCACGCGGTTAATTGAATGGATTCTTCGAAACTTTTCTCTCTATCTGCGACCCACCTGACAGCCCTAACGGCTACTGAACAACCGATCTCTCACATCCCTCATCTTTCTTTCCCGTCTTGTTCTTCTTCCCCTCTCACTGCCGGCGCCGCCTTTCTCCCCCTACTCTTTCCGGCCGTCCTCTCTCCTCCTACTTCTTTGAAATATTTCCTTAATTAATTACGTTTGAAAGGGTGTCAAAAACTGGTCCAAACCTGCAAATCCAATAATTCTGACCTAATATACCAAACGGATATAAAGCTAAAAATCAAAATTCTGACCTCACCTCATTTTCAGTCTCCCGTCTCCCGTCATTGCTGAAAATGGAGAACACAAGTTACTCAAAGTTGAAAAAATCTTTTGTGATTGGAATACGCAGCTTGTTAAATTCTTGCTCTAGAAAGGTACAATAAAAAAACTTTTCTTTTTTTTTCCCTCTCGTGAATATACCATTAATTTGAGAAATGCCCTAAAACCACTACTTTAATTATTGTCTTCTTTTTTAATGAATGAATTGAAGAAATTTGGTGAAACTTTCCCCAATTTCACTCCAGCAGAAGTTGAAAGACTTCATCGGTTATATTTTGAGGTTAGCTTTTGTTCTTATTCTATTCGTTTTTAACATATTTTCTAAAGGCTTCAGAATTTGAGAAATTTAGAATATCTAGTTGGAAATTGGACTTATTCATTAAGTAAGTTAAAATTCATCACTGGAGTTTGGAGATATCGCGATTTGTTTCTGAGTTTAAGTTCCGTGTAAACTTATTTACATTCATGTGGCATTCTTAGATTATGCTATAAGCCTATAACTTAAATCCTTTTTGAGTTTAAGTTCATCTGTATAGAAATTGACATGTGGTGTAAACGTTATTTACATTGTCAGCGGGTATAACTGAAATCCTTTTGAGTTTAAGTTTTACACACTATCGGTGATAAATGTTTTGCATGATAGGTTAAATTGACTTACAACAATAGGTAAATCTTCATAGCAAACCTTATAGTAACCTATAAAATAGAGTAATAGCTTGCTGTACTCAATAATTTTTTTTTCAATGTCAGTGTATATAATTTAAATCCCTGTTTTTAGCTTATTCTAGTTATTTTCATATTTTTCACTAGCTTAATTATTTTCTTCTCCTATGAATGTTTTGTTCCGTTTCAGGTGATTACTGGTTTGACCAAGAGTATAGAGGTATGTCATGAATACAATTTTTATTTTTTATTTTTTATTTTTCAGCAAAAGCCACCATTGTGGTGTAGGGGTTAAGGCATGACCCCTAACCTTTATATATCAAAATCCAGTAGGTGAAGACATGGAGAAGGGGGACATATTGCCTAACCTCTCCAAGAAAGTAAAGCTTACAAAAAAAGAGTTGTTCCTAGGCAGTAGCCTGGTTAGTTACAATTAGCAATGCAGAATCATCTTCCTGTGTAGACTATGATATACAAACTAGGATGTACAAGATAGCTACACTACTATACATTTTAAACATTTGAATTTTTCCTAACTTGTTTGATTCTAAAAGCATGGAAACTGAGTTTAGCACCATACTTCGCTAGAGCATCCACAGTTTCATTCCCCTCTCTAAAGCAATGTTGCACTACTACCCTTTGAGAGAAGATGATCTGCTTCATGTTGTTGATATCATCTGTTAGTTTCCATGGAGGTTTGAAAATATCCTTCAGCATGTTTATCCCCAGTGAGGAGTCCATTTCTAGAATAACATTTTGGATATTATTGTAGAGACACCAATTCAAGGCATATTAGGCTGCTTGGACTTCAGGTTGGTTGTTACTGCAAAACTGGAGATTCTTAGCAAATGCCATGATGAGCTCTCCATTTTTGTTCCTAACAATTCCTCCTATCCTTGCAATCTTGGTATGGATTTGACTGCTACCATCTGTGTTAATTTTCCGCCATCCATCTGGAGGTTTATCCCATATGACTGCTCTGCCACTGATAGTAGGTCTGTATCTCTCTGTTTTGGTTACAAAGCTGAAGCCAGGACCAAGACATATCCATAAAGACTCCCTTTCTTCTCATATAGATTTTTAGATGGAATAGAACTTCCTGTCTCACTCTTGAGACTGAAATCCTGTTGTTCCCATATTTAATTGAACACCAGCATTTCCGAAGTTCCCGGAAATATGGCTGCTTCCTGGATCATAATTCTCATCATTGGGTTTTTGTTATTGTTGTTCCTCCAGTCTTGAAGGGTATGTGCATAGAATAAGCATTGGACTGGATACCTAAAAAATTCCAAGTTAGAAATGCAATGTCACTTGTCAGAAAAATTTGTGAGATGGTTTCATTCTTTGGATTCCTACAACACAAGCATTTGGACACCATGTTCTTTCTAAATTTTCCTATAGTCTCATCAACTGGTAGTTTTCCTTTGACTGCCCTCCACAAAATAAAAGACATCTTAAAAGTGAGATATTTCCTTCATTTACTTTCCATATATCTTTCCAAAGAGGAAGAATCTCTTTTTTCTTTCTTAAGTAGTTAAAAGCAGAGGAAAAGAGAAAACACAAGTGGAGGTAGGTATCCAGATAGGGATATCCCTTAATAGTCTATCACCAATGGGAATTTTCCGGATATGATCCAACAAATTAAGAGGGACCAATCTGGAAAGAGCAGCTTCATCCCAGATATTGTCCCTAATAGATTTCATAAGTTTCATGTTGCCAGGTTTTTTATCCCTCTGAATATAGGACCCCAAAAGACCAATCCCGGCCCAATTATCCCATCAAAGTGAGATATTTCCTTCATTTACTTTCCAAAGAATGTAGGGTTCAATTTCCTTTTTAATGATCATAAGCTCTTTCCAGGCTGCAGAGTGTTTCGACTCTTAAGGATTTTGCCGCTGGGCGACTCCTGGGACAATATTTGGCCTTGATGAACCAAGACCAAAGGTTATTATTGACCCTAAATCTCCACCATCTTTTGGCTGCAAATGTCTTACATACCAGATTCTTAAAGCCAGCACCTCCCTCATTCTCCGGAAAGCAAAGGTTGACCCATGAGCTCCAGTGGTATCTGCTTTTGTTCTCATCTGTTCCCCAGAAGTTTGAGAAATGTTTCTCAATTTGGTTAATGATAGTTTTAGGAGGGGAAACAACAGCTAAAGTATGAATAGATTTAGATTGAAGGACATTCTTGATTAAGATAGCTCTACCACCGGGGATATTAACTTACCTTGCCAGCTACCAGTCTTATTTATGACTTCCTTTCACATGTCTGCAAAATAACAAAATTTCTTTCTACCAGAGTAAATAGGACAACCCAAATATTTAAAGGGAAAGGATTATACTTCTAACCTGTGATCTTTCTGATCATATTTTTACGATGACGGATGATCAGAAATGTAGTTGGAGGTTAAGTAGAAACTCGTCTTTACTATTGTCTTGACCATAAGTATTTTCTTACTTGTGAAGGATCATCATAACTTGTTTCAGGGAATGCTTTTCCCCTGACGAGAAGATAACTAAATCATCTGCATATGCAAGATGATCTTAGGACCCCTGTTATTCATAGTATATCCAACAAACCTGTCCTTTTCATGGAGATAATTTAAAGCCTTAGATACTGCCTCTGCTGCTAGAATAAACAAGTTAGGGGGATAGAGGGTCTCCTTGCTATAATCCTCTAGTAGACTGAAAAAAGCCATATCTAATGCCGTTAATAAGCACAGAATACCACACATTAGATAGTAACCTGTATACCATGTCCATGAAGAATTCTGCAAAACCCATTCTTTTCAGAACAGCCATAAGCAAGTGCCAGGAGACTTTATCATATGCTTTAGCCATGTCTAAATTGATCATAACATTTCCACCTTTATTCTTCTTATTGATATCTTGAGCTATCTCCTGAGTCAAAAGGATAGCCCTTAACAAAACCAGTTTGATTTTCAGATACTAATTTAGCTCACAAGTCAGTCAGCCTGTTAGAGAGGATTTTAGAGATGATTTTGTTTGAGAAATTACTCAAATTAATAGGTCGCATCTGGGAAAAGTTGGTAGGAGAGTCCACTATAGGAATTAAAATCAGACAGGTATGAGTAAAAAATTAGTGAGCTTTCCTCCTTCAAAAAAATCCTTGATCATATTACAAACATCTTCAGAAATGATATGCCAACAGATTTCGTTAAATCTGCCTGGTCCAGCTACACTATCAGAGCTAATGGATAAGACAGCCGCTTTAATCTCTTCATTAGTAGGAAACTTCTGGAGCATGGTGTTATCCTCCTCTGTAATGATTCTATCAATTCTCTATAAAATCCAGATCATAGTCCTGATGAGGTTGAGAGAATAGGCTGGTATAATATGCAACTGCTGCATCAGCAGTTTTATCATTGCCATAGATCCAATTATCCTCATTCTTGATTCTGTGAATGTAAGCTTTCTTCCTTCTTTGCCTTATAACATTATGAAAATATTTCCCATTGCTGTCACCTTCCTCTTCCCAGTTTATCTTAGCTTTCTGTCTAAGAATGGATGTTTGCATATTCATCCATTTGATTTTTTCTGCATAGAGCCAATTTAGTTTGATCCTGTTGGTATCATTGTCATCTTGCTCACATATCAGCCATTTATTTTCTAATTCATCCACTTTATCAAAAACATTACCAATACTCTCCCTAGACCATTTACTAAGACAATGAGATAGTCTTTTAAGCTATCGATGAAGAGAATACGTGGCATTTCCTTGAACTTGCTCATCCCAACTATCTTTGACTACCTTCATGAAATCTGGTTGTTCAGCCCAAAAATTCAAAAACTTGAAGTATTTGATAGGAGGGATAACTGTTCCTGTGCACTTAAACATCAAAACACTATGATCTGAACCAGTCCTTGGTAGATGATAAACAGTTGATATTGGAAACATGGTAGACCAAGAACCATTATACAGAATTCTATCCCGCCTCTGCAAGATCCTTTTTTTTTCTTTTTCTTCCATTAGTCCAAGTAATATTAGTACCAGAATATCCTGCATCTGTCATCCCACACTCATCCATACAATTAAGCCTGTGAAGTTTTCCACCCTTCTTTTCACTGGCTTTCATAATAACATTCAAGTCACCCATGATGGTCCAAGGGCCATCAATCTGATTGTTAATATTAGAAAGGTATTCCATAGTCTTATCCTCCTCCTTGAATTGGTGCTGGCATAGACCATAGTAATCCAGAGTAATCTGCTGCTTTTTGTTACTAACAACACTGCAGTTGTAATTCCCATCCCCAAAAACCCATATTTTCCATTACAGTTAGCAACTGCATTTGGAAAACCAGTGTTCCTCCTGTAGTATTTCAATTTTCTGTTGTCTACAAAGGGCTCCTGCAAAGCTATGAAAGAAGCTCTATGTTTCTTTACCAAGTTGTTGAGTCTAGTGAAAGCACCCTTAGACTTAACCCCTCTAATGTTACAACTGATAGAACTATTCATTAAAAAACAATTATTGGGGGTTTTTGATTTTTTTTTTCCTCTGCCTCTTGTTAAAGGAACATTTGCAGTTTTCTTTGTAATTTTGTTTTGTGTCTTGGTGCCTCTTGGTGATATTCCTCCTTTGTCGATGACTTCAGTAATTTGTTGCACGACTATGTCATGTAACTCCAGATCAGAGATAGGGGAGTCTATGTTAATTAGATTGCCTGCTCTAGGGACAAAATTATTGGCCCTTCCTTCATTGTTTTTGTCTTCCAGAGGAATATATATAAGTTTTCCATTGTTTTTCTCATTGTTTATATGCTGGACATTGCTTATTGTAGTAGCATTCTTATGGTTTTCAAGGCTGCTTTCATGTGGATCAACCTGCTCTTCATTAGTAACCTCATCAAGATTTTGAAAAGAGTTGTTCGTGGTGATTGGATGATTTGTCGGGACACACAAAGATTGTTTTTCTTCTGATCCAGTAACCACTACCACTCTTCTTTGTACCATCATCTTGTTGGCTCCAAAATTTTTCTCTCTCCTTATCTGATTGTTATCCTTATTCACTTCAACTCCTGAACAATGAGTTTCACCCTCTATAGCTTCAGTTTCAATGGTAGTACATATTTCTTCAGCATCACCATTCCTTTGTTGCATAGTAGAGTTGTTCCCATTGTCATCTAATTTATCAACATTTCCAAGTTGATTAGAAACACCTTCCACTGACTGAATATTTGTAGGCTGACATTCTTCGTTAACATTTGATCTGGGTTGCTTAGAAATAACTTCCACTAACTCATTAGTTTTAGCTAAGCACTCTCTATTAGCATCAGTTTCAGTTGAGACAATTTCATCTTCCACCAAATGCTGTTGAATCTCTTTTTTCTGTGTTTTTTCGTTGCTAATGATTCTCTGGATAGCAGTTCTCTCCCTCCTTTTTTCTTTTTCCTGTCAACTCTCTCTTGAACAGAAGGATCATTTTGTTTAGGAGATTCCTTATTCTTATTCAGAATGTTCTTTCCTTGTTCTGTGCTTACACTGTTTTGCTTGCTAGACTCAACTTGATCAGATATGGATGTAGTTGTGGTTGTTTGGCTCTGATCATCTTTTTGTGAATCTGTAGATATATTCTTTTGAGTTTCTTGAGGTTTGGCTTTAGCGTGAATACAATTTAATGGCCTTTTTTTCCCTTGGTGAAATTTAATGCACAGAATTATGTTTATTGTTATTACAAAGAATGAAGGTTATGTGTTAGGGTGAAAAGTTAGCCTTCTGCGTAATCCTTGGGGGACAGAGTTACGCGACGCCTGGGCTGATGGGAGGTAGCAGATACCTAATGGAATAATGGAGGTGCCCGCAAGCTAGCCTAAACACCTTCTTCATAAATAAATTAATTAATAGAAGAATATAAAGATGTGTACAACTTATTGCTATCAATCATCTCGGTTTGTTTAGTAATAATTGCTGTGCTTGTTTAATCGGCAGTTTTGATGAACCTTCCTAATCTCAAGCATCTTTGATTTTGTTCCATTAGTGCTAGGGCTTGGTCTGTTTGATGTATGAATACTTATTCAATTGATGTATACGTTTTAAAACACTACAAGCATAATCTTTACTTGTGATTGAATACTTATTCAATTGATTCTCTTGCTAACTGTTACTATTGATTAATAGCCTGTCAAATACATGGTTTGTGTCAGGTATTTCTATTTCACAATAAGCTCAACTGATGTTTAGGTTTAATCCCTAAACATGATGCTTCTTGCTTAGAGAGAGCTTTGAAGAATACTAGTGTTTAGATGTTCTACTCTATAACATGATGATTCATTATCAGTTGGAACTTGGAATATTACGCATACCTGCTTACTATTGCTTTCTTCATGTTTCATGTGTTATCTCTTCTCCGTCAAAGGAACTTAAAGAAGTCTATTTTACTTCAAATCCTCAAATTGCTTGTCCCCCCCCCCCCCCCAAATTAAAAGGAAAATTGATACATGAAATGAATCTTTAGTTTGTGTTTAAGATATTATAGTCAAATGCACGTGCGATTCTTTGAAACTTCTTATTAAATATTCATTCCTTCTCAATGTGACCAGGGGTCATTTGGATAATAGTTCTTATTTGTGGAAAGAGAATACATATAGAGTGTCTCTCCATTTTTGTTTTGTTTAATGACCCTGTTATTGGGTTTATTTTGGTTGTAGTTATAGTGCTATTCCAAAGTATTATTCCATGTTTACTAGTGAACTTATAGAATTTTGACGAGCTTCTCATTTTGAATTGAACAGATATGAGTTGACTATATCAAATATACTAGTTGTTAGATTTTGTTATTCTCTCCTTTAATTGGAAGGCAATGTTGAATTGTCTGTTTCAAATGTTGCAGGATGAATTTGAGTCTCTATGCGAGGAGACACAGGTACATATCATATGCTTCTTAGTTAATTAAAGTTATTCTGAGAAAATATGCATCCTATTTCTGGAGAAGTAAAAATTGAATAAACCTTACATAATAAATATTCCCTTTGCTGCTTCAAAACTAAGCATTCTGCAAGATCTACTCTACCTTCTCTTTTCTACTAAAACATCTCTCCACTTCTAATAAAATATGGTTTTGAAAGTAAAAAATCATGATTAAGTTTAAACGTGAAATTTCATTTTCTGTCCTTCAAGAGCGTACTTATCCGCTTGGCTGACAGCTAAACTAGATTCTCCTGGCGTCCATATTGTAAGGTGAATAAAAGAATAAAGATTTGCAAAAGTTACACCCCCAGTCTATGAGGACTGCCAAGTGCCAACTGGTCTTCAGTTGACCACTGCACTACTAACTTTTCAGGATGTGTACTTTTCGACCGAGATATAAGTTCTTCTTGGACTTGTTCCTCTTTTGGACAAAATCTGAAGATAATAGAGCATTGCTGAGGATTGTATATTGTTGAAAAGAGAAGTTCTTGGAAAATATCTGTTAATTTACGTCTAGATTTAGGGATGGCAATGGGGTGGGGCGGGTTTAGACANGATTTCTGAATTCTTATCGTGATGAAGAACTGACCTAGTTTAATTGGAACATCTTGTAGCACTCCAGGTTCTTCTGCAAACGTGACATCTTGCAAGTTCTTAACTAAATGGAACCAAACTAGAAACAATATTTCCAGTCAGTTTCTTATGGTTTTTGGTTTCTATTACAAACTCAGAGTGTGATAGTTTAAAATATTTTATTTATAGTATATACCATGGTGAAATGAGAAAAATCACATCAACAATTTCAGACCAAGCTTAAATCCTTACCAAAATGAAAATTCTAGCCAAAGGATTAAAAAGAGATAAAACTAATAAAATGAAAAGAAGAAAAAAAAACTTAAGCGGGGCGGGGCGGGGGGNAATCACATCGACACTTGCTTAAATCCTTACCAAAATAAAAATTCAAGCCAAAGGATTAAAAAGAGATAAAACTAATAAAATGATAAGAAGAAGAAAAAAAACTTAAGCAGGGCAGGGCGGGGCGGGTTGAAATTTCGCGGGTTAAAACAGAACCCGCCCCGCACCCGCACCACTTGTCATCCCTATCTAGATTATCAAATGTGCTTTCATAGAAGTCTCTCTCATTGTAATGTTGAGAATTTCAGATAAAGCTTTGCTTTCATATGGATTAAGTGTAGGCTGACCTCCATTTAGAATTTCATTTACTGTGATCATTTATTCTATTATGCCTGATGGGAACCTTAAGGTTCCATGTATTGGAAACTGTTTGAGAAAGCTCTGCCTTGCAAAACCTAGTTATGCCGTTGGAGAAGAGATTCATAAGAGAGAAGGAAATTAACTGTATGAGAATTTTTAATGAAGGGGCCCTAAATTTCCTTAAAAATTCTTTGGCTCCCTCATGTATTCATTTGATTATGTAACTTATTGCGCATGCAAATCGATATTGTAGAAGACAGATTCCAACAAGTTGATTATGTCCACATTTCAGCTGACTGAATTCTTTTATTAAGAAAAAAGCATTTTCCAATACCATTTCTTTTGATATGATGTTAACCTGGAATGCTTATGTGAGTTTTGGTTGTTAAGTTGGAATAATGTGTGTGATATGGTTTTCCTTGGGATCGTGTTTTCTACTTGTAGGCAGGAACAACTCTAAACATGGTGGAGGAGCTTGTGGAAGAACAACACTTGGAAGAAAGCTTGAACCCCTTGTTTCTGGAGAGGTATGCTTACTCCCATTCTGCAAAATTGCATAAGCAGGATTAGAATGGTTTTCTTTTTACCCACTATTGTTTTAGAAAAAGCTTTCTGGAATTCTATTTTTCTGTTTTGGTCACACCACGTGAAGGAAATCCACTCTAGATGATAACTGGACCTGCGCATATGTGCTAAAAAACTGTGACGAACATCCTTAGTGCTATAGCAGTCTTTCTTGTTACAAGTGACATAGAGTACTAAGTTTTTGAGTCCTCAAACCCATGCATATATCCTGTGGTGTAACAAGAAAAATGACCTTCTAGGAAAGGATTTGTGCTGTAGGTGTATCTGAAGAACAGACATTTGTACACTATAATTTGCATCAAAATTGTCTAGATACTTTATAGTTTATACTTCTGCTTCTCTGGTTTTGGTTATTCTTCTCATCTTATTCTTCCCATGCTACCTCTGAACTGTCTTGTTAGCTTTTATACTTTGCCAAGTGCAGTACAATCCACTTGTGCAGCTTTAATACCTTAATAACTTTACAGTTTGCACACCACCATGACAGAGTCAAAAGATTTATTGACTACTGATTTTCCAATTTCTCAAAGGATTTGACCTGAAAGAGAACTTTAACGTAGAAGTTGAATCATAACTTATTATAACTCTTTAAACGTGAGAAAATAACGAAAAATGTAGCATTGATTTTCTATAGTGTAGAAGCTATTTGTTGATGGTCAATGTACCGATGCACTATTAGCACAATAGTTATCTTCCACAGGCTATTCTTGGTTTCTTGAAATTGGAACTGGATTTCTTTTGTGAATTTCCATGTGATTCAATAGATGGACTTGTACATTTGTTGGACTACATGTGTATCACGAAGGCCTATGGTTATGTATAGATTTTTAAAGTATCTCTGAATATAATACATATCCTTGGGTCAACTCTTAAGGTAGTAAATGTCTAGTGCATGCTAGATATTATGTGGTCTGGATGGTCAACTGAAAAACATGGACTACAAACTCCAGAAAAGGAGAAAAGAGCAGGAAAAAGCATTCTCATTTCACTACCAATAGGTATAGATATGTAATTCTACGGTCATGGTGGATACCGCCTATCCAGATACTGAATTTTTAATTAGTAAAACTAAAACATACAATTAGTTTATATCTGTCTATTAAGCAAACTTCTTCATGGTTCTTTAAATGAGAGAATGTTGATGGTTGTTGAGGCTTCTATCTTTTTAAGTGTTAGTATATTTACTTTCGGTCCTAATGCTTCATGGAGTCTTATATGCCAGTGAAAATATAGAGAACTTCTAGTAATAGCTAGTCATTTTGCAGGAGCAATACTGAAGAAGTCATGAGGCACTACCTATCTGAAGTCAAAAAGGACGAGATCAGTTACTTGATGGCTATGTTAGAGAAGGTGGTCTCAGTTATTTTCTTACACTCTTTTGTAATTGAAGAGCTAATGCATCTTTTTTCTTATTTAAAACTAAAATTTCCTTGACTGATTGGTTGACATCCTAAAATGATTTGTTAGGCAGAAGAACAGAAACGTGCCGTCACTTCTCTTCTTGAAGCCCTGAAGAAAGAAAGGCATGATAGTACGGATAATGAAGACAGAACTCGAAGTTTACTTTGATTCAGGCTGTGATTCAACATATAAGCCGTGAATGCACGTCCACTGCACTTACTTCAGTTAAAGAAAAAGTTTATGCACCTGTCCTAGATGAATTAAATGTACTCCTTTTGCTACAAATATATACAATAGTAACGAATGTATAGGAGTAACTTCTCATTGATATTGTTATTTTGTCTAAAGTTGTACTATTACTTGTGATCAGGGGCGAATTTATAGGTGTAATTACGGTACATGTGAACCTATGGTCTCTCCGTAAATTAGATATTTTATGTACATATTTTCCAAAATTGATATAGTATATTATGTACATATTTTCCAAAATTACTGTTGGCACCCCAAGGTTATGATGCATTTGGTTGATATTAGGTACTCGTAAAAAGTAGTCTATTAATTAATACTGAGAAGGGTCCAGCTGCAGTGGGACCATATTCTCAAGCTATCAAGGCTAATGATTTCATTCATGTAATCGTAGTGTTCGGGCTCGGGCTAGAAATTTGTGATATTACCATCGCAGTTATTTATTTTTTAATCTTAGATCATTTGAACTCGTGATATGCTAGCATTTTCCTGTTCCTTTTACAATGTTTAACTCTTCTGTTACTGAATGTAGACTAGAAATTTTATAAGAACTCAATAATGTTTCTCTGTCTAAAATGCAAGACAATTTTCTATTGCACAACAACTGCATCACCAAAATAAACAGGGTGCTTTCATACTTTAACTTCTACATCATCATAACTTTATTTATCGAGTAGACCATACACCTTCCTATGAAATTTGAAAAACTTTCTAGTCATAAGAAGACACCTTCATGGAATTGGTTTCCACTTGTATAAAGAAATGAAATCAATATATTTTGCTTGGTTTCTTGTCCTTTGGGTTTCATTCATTTGAACTCCTGGAAGTTCACATGTCCAGTTGCTTGTGCATGCTCAACAGCTTCCTGTATATCAAATGCAATTTTTAGCAAAAAGCACAAGTTTAAGAAAGTAGGCAGAATAATAACAAGAAGCAAGCCATGATATAAGCTGTGCTGGTCAAACCTTTTGGCCCACGACCCCGATTTGGCAAACTCCACAACGCAACGTGAAGTTGGCTGTATCAGTGTAGCTCCTCTTTCTGCTATGTGCAACAGCATGGTGATTAGTAGATTTAAGTAGTTTCTATTCATATCCTAGAAGCAAAATAAGATCAGATAAAAAAGAACAGCAGCTCAGAATTAGAACACACACACACACATAAAAAATAAAAACATCAAGGCATAAAGTAAAATAAGTCCTCACAACCACATTCTTATCATGCCAATAACCTCAAAATGCAAATAATCTATAGAACTCTTATCCGCAAATCCTCTAATTCTTATCATGCCATTCCTCTCAAAATTCTGTAACTTCAGATCTTACCAATTTTACCCAACCATAAACGCAAAGCAGCATAAGAACGAGGACTTTAAGTGACAAGAACGCACCAACTAACAAAATGCATGAGTATAACTGCCCAATGTCTATTAAGAGATCCTTAAGTTTTATCATGTTAGGACATCTTATCATTGTTGTCCATGCGAGCAACTACACCACAAACTCAGCAAAGAGAACTATGGGTAGATTTGACCCACAAGGAAAATGATCATAGTAGTATGTTCTTCTTCAGAACAAACAAATGCTCTCCAACTGTATGAGTGATGAATCTCTTCTATTATTCAAAGCTTCATATTTAGACTAGTAAATGCGCTACAAAGGAATCGAATTGTATGAAAAGCATAACCTAAAAGTTTAAACTATTGGAAAGAGAGGTCTTCTATTCAAACACGCGCCTCCTCGCACGCTGCAAGCATGGCCCTGGACTTGATTTTTTATTCTTAGGCCACACGTGGAAACTTTTTTTTCCTTTATGAGACAGCTTCGAACTCATGACTTCTGTCAAATAGTTGAATTGTTTGAATGGCCTTAAGCTATTAAAGGGGAACACTATCATTAAATTATTTATTTTAGGCATGCAACATAAGGGAAGCAAAATCACAACCCTAATCTGTATTTCTAGACTGTATTCGACCCCTACAATGTGGGCTTGAAATGCAATTCCCAACCTTGCAGATCTGTTAGCTGGTATCGAATGGACTTCGAATAAACGATAAGATGGCTGACAGACGTCCTTTTTTTCCCCAGACCCCACTTTGTGGGATTACACTGGGTTTGTTGTTGTTATGGCTGAACAGATGATGCACAGCCAGTTGAGAAGTCACGGCTACTAGCAGCCTTTTTAGTACAGAATATTTACACACACAGAACAGACTGTTTACCAATAGCTCCTTGAGCTTTTGGGCACCTTAGCCTTCTGGACAAGCCAAAGTAAAATTCCCCATGCTATATAGCTATTATTTTAGCTGCCAACACTGCATGAATTTGACAGCTTTAACTTAGATATGGTTGTTCAAAATTGATTCTGGAGTTTACTTATGCCAAAACTTATTTAAGTTGGATGATTCAAGAGTACTGAGTGTTTAAAATGAGGGAAGAGACAAGTAAAAGAAAAACTGGGATTTACCATACGGTGCTGCAGATTGCCTACATACACCAGGATTAGTGAAGGAGTTATTGCGATTAGCTGACAAGATTCTAAAGAGCTGCAGGATGCACGGATGCTCCCAGAGCGTGGATATCATTTTCTGGGGAGTGTCGAGGGTATAAAATGCTAAACCCTTGATATGTCGTTTTCTAATTGAATAAAGAAATCCTTGATTGAGCTCTTGTATCCGAAAAAAGGAGATCAAATATCACAAGATTGTAACCAAGGATATTTAAATAGCTAGGATTCCAAATCCCATTGATGGCTTGAAATCATGATCCATAAAGCCAGAGGCAACAACAGCCATGTCCTAAATGGCACTGATTGAACAGCTTCATCCAGTATTGGCTTCGCACATCATTATCCATTGTATACTAAAAAGCTTAGTATATTGTATACTAAGCTTTTTAGTATACATTTAACTGCGTAAGTATAGTCAACTGTGTTATCATTTAACTTTCCTGTAAGCAAGCGGAAGAGTACGATCTGCCCCTAAATATTAATTCAGCAATCGACAATTTTTAATCAATCCAGGTAAATAATGTTTAATAGGAGAAGCAACCAAAAAGAGGTACTCAGAATTATCATGATAAAAAGAAGAGCTGATGCATGTGAAACAATACAAGGAAACGAAAAACTCAACGTCATAAATATAGAGAGAAATAGAGATGGATCAAAACTAGAGAAAAGACTTCTCACTGGGAGCTGTCCGGAAATAGGTATAAAGCACCAAATCGATTAAGCAATATATATAAACCAATCACCTATGCCTCAATCTCAAACCAATTAGTGTTAGGTTTATGAATATTTTGTATCAATTCCGCTTGAACCAGAGTATCATTCCAATTCCAATCTAAATAATTTATCTTTTAAGGCAAATGATGGGCTTTCTAGAACTAGAGTTCACTAGATCGTACGCTTATCATTACTCCAAACAAATACCAGACCTAATGTAAGTCTTAACAACAACTATACCTCAATCCCAATTAGTCGGCGATGCCGATATGGATTCTTTGCTTCCATTATGTTCTACTCCTAGTCGAGTCTGATTTGATTCCACTATATTGTCGGTCTTCATAGACAACTTCTCTTTTGTGATGTGACATCTACCTCGTCTCCTTTTATCACCTTCAACCACAACAGTGTTGCACCTACCAATCGGTGTATATGGAGGTTCTTGTAGCACTTGAGTAAACTATCTCAAGCAGCTTTCTCTTTATTTATCCTCTATTTGTGCTATATCTGATGAGATCATTTCTAACCTTGTCGAATCTTAACATCTGAATTTCTACTACATACATTGTATAGGATATGTTAGACCATACAGACTCAACATTCACTCCATGTTAGTCTCACAATTGTTCAATAAAACTTGCATCTCATTTTATTACGTTTCTCCATATCGCATAACACTTTTGTGGTACTCCTTAAATTCAAACATCATATCTTAATTCTACGTCATTTTCACCAATCATGCCATTCTCTTGGAAGATTGAACCAAAAAATATGAGTTGTCCGCATTTAGGCACCACAATCCGTCTCACTTCTACTTATTCTAGAACTGACTCTTTGTGTTTATTCATAGTTCCAACTTTTGGTTAACTCCCTTGCTAGCTTCCAATTAACATAATTAGGCAAAATATCGCTTTGTAACAAAAGTTAGATCAGATACCAACTCGTTCAGCACCCAGAAGAGAATAAAAGCATTATTCCCAGGAAAAATAACAAATCAATCTGAAGTAAAGAAAGTTGAGATCTCCAGCACACTAACCACAAAAGACTAGTTCCTATACTAATAGCGCGGAAAAGCATTTTAACAAAGAAACTTAAGGAACCAGGTAGATGTATCAAATCTGAGCCCATTATCATCTGGCCATACAAAACTTCCCCAACTCTAACTCTTGCTGATTTCTTTATTTCTTGAGGAATGTGTGTCAAGACATAAGCTTCAAAGGAATTTTCTGATGCTTACCTTTGTTGCTCCTTAACCAGATTAAGAGCAAGCCTCTCAGCTGGTCCTACAGTCCCATCTCTCTGCACAGTAAAGATTGTCTGATCAAACTCCTCTGGAGCTCCTTCAGCAGGCGACATCTATTGATTGAACACATGAAACAAGGGGTAAGTGGGATAGTATAAACTTAAAAAAAGGAAATCAAACTCCGCGCAGCTTTGTCAAACGATAGCAAAATCTTCATACAAATGTTAGCTTGATGATCTCATACTCTACTAACTGGCAGCTAATAATTTCACATTTCTTATGATGGGTAATTTCACATTTTTTATGATGGGTAAATGCAAAATTTCATTAGGAATGGCACTAGCGATGGGCACAAACCCAATTAAACGAGCACAAGAACAAAGATATAAGGAGCTCCTACCCGTTACAAATATGCTATTATAAAACAAAATTAAAAAAAAGGGCAGCCTTGTGCACTAAGCTCCTGCTATGCGCGGTCCGGACAAAATAACCCAACAAAAATTAAATAACAATAAAATTTGAGCCAAAATGACCCAAAGCACGTTAAACCCAACAGACTAACCCAGCATATCATTTATCTGTGCTTTTTTCAACAATTGTTATATCGGATTCAGATCACTAATCCTATCTCATTGATTTGATAGGAGTCCAGACAAAGTCCAACTTGGGACCTTAACTTTGCCTATAGTCCATCGATTTATAGGATCTATAAACACATTTTTTCTCTCCTTGTTCTTCCAGTGTAGAAACGGAAAGATCCAGAAGGTGCGTGTGTGTGTGTGTGTGTAGAGAGAGAGAGAGAGGGAGAGGGAGAGAGAAACACCATACAGCCAAAGCATCATAATGGAGCCCATCATAAATCAGCATTACTCTTTCCTGATAGTTCTTTCCCTGTTTAACGTTCAGCCATATAAAGGTGGTTAAGAAGACTTGGAATTGAAAATTACTCATGTAGAACACATCCTACTACTTAAATACTAACCTGCCCATACAGATCACAGCGTGTGGTTTGAATATCATAGGCTGCGATTTCTCGTCCATAGTAGTCAGTCAATATTGAAAGCTCTATGGCACCTTAAGAAAATAAGTGTTTCAAAGGTCAGAAACGTCGATGAGAAAACACAATACAAATAACAAGAACTACAACGAGTAAATATGAAAGGGCTGTTCCTAAGCAGCAAGAAACTAGAGTTCATCCAGCTAAACATAATCGTAACTAGACAGACAACTAATTGCAAGATTTTATCACCCAGTTCTACTGTAAAACTATCTGTGGAGGGACCGAAAAGGAGAGTATTGACTAGTGAACTTATTGTTTTACCCCAACAGGACTTCAGAGGTTGAGATAATGCAGGAATATGATAATTTAAAACAGACATCAAGTATATCATACCTCCCCATTTCTCTGGGTTAAGAATCCAATCACAGTACTCTTTGTTGGACTTCCCAAG